AGAGAGAGAGAGAGAGAGAGAGAGAGAAAGGGAGAGAGAGAGAGGCTGTAGTAGAGGGACAAGTCAAGAAAAACATGATTTTTAACTTTTTATAACAGGAAAATGCATAAACATATTAAGAATTATAAATACAGTACAGTATCGATATACTAATCGCATAATTATTGGATCACAATCTGTACAATAGTGAACACGTGATTAACATGTTAAATGTCATTAATTGTAACTTGCTAAATTGAGCGTAAAAGTATGTGATCTTAATTAAAATGTCTAATAAATAATAATATATTAGAAACTAATTCTTATGTGTAATAAATTAAGTTAAATGATTGAATACTTTGGATATTGGGAGAGAAAAAAAGAGAGAAAAGTTTGTCGATTCTTGCAATGCATACGAAAATGCAATGATTGGCGATCATATGCTGTGACGTATTTATTAGACATGAATGGTGTGCCAAAAGGGAACCCATTTCCGCGATAACAGTTTAAAATGTCAAATCTTGAAACTATTTTAGCACCATGATACATTAACAAGAATATATTCATTTTCATAAATTTACATGTTTTTAATATACAACAAAACTGAACATTAATATATAAATTTATATATTAGCTACGCTACTATTTGACATTTAAAATCTTAATTTTCTTATGATTACTCATAATTTTGAGTAAAAAAACTTCAATATGAATGTATGACTTGTTTGCGCAAACATATTAATATATTGAGATAGTTTTAAAAATGAAATATATTTGATTGCGAGCTATGAGTAAAACTATAAGCCTGAATGAGGTTCAGGGAAATGAGTGGTTATACCAGGGAATCCCAATCATAGTGAATAGGGCTGACTGGGAGTGTGTGGCGAGGGTTGAGCTCACGTTTAGTATAGTATGAGGTTTTGGTGCCATTATTACCACACAATTCGTGTGTTTTGTTCAATACATACATTGCATTGAGATTTCTATACCAAACTATTGAATCCAATATATATTTGACGCCAATTTCTACACATATTATTAAATTGTAAATATTATTATCAATTCGTGTCAATTGTGTGACAACTCATAGACAGTAATCGTGTGGTGTTTTGGTGGACAACCATTTAGTGCCAAAAGCCGTGCGAAACAGTTATGCAATCAATGGACTGCATGTTTGCATGAATTGTTTGAATCGTTTGTATATTTTGTGGTGAATTGTCCGCAAAAATGAGTGAATCTGACGCCAAAAGTGATGCTTTGACCACAAGTTTGGATTCACTGCTCATTAAAAGCAGTGCTAAACCCAAACGCAAGTATGTATTCATTCAGTCATTCAGTCTATGCTTGCAGTGAATGTCTTATGCAATGCATTCCCGTGTCATATGTCCGCACATACCTGTCCTCACCCGCCATACCTGTCCCTCGTATGCCATAATATGTACCCCAAATATAGTACACAATACGGACACCGAAAGTGTGTTTGTATTGAGTTAATAATTAATTAATTAAAAAACTAATACATAGTAAAAGTGAAATTGGGTCAGGGATTGGACAGACAGACACTCGGCCTATACTACTGGTAAACCATATTCATGTGACTGTTGTGTGTATTGAGGGTACGGTATGGTTGAGGACTGGGGTATATGTGGACCGGCTGTCCATTTGTCGGACACTTCTGCCGATTATGTCTTATTGTAGCGATTGTACGGAAATATAGACGATATTTATGTCATTAACTTTGATAGTAAAGTGACGTAAAAACAAAAGTAAGAGTACAGTCGCACCCCGGTATAACACTTTGTAATCACCTAGATCTGTTTATTATAATGAGGTTTACATTAGTAATGAGACATAATTGCTAAGTAAGTCAAGAAGTAAGTGACAATCCATTTGTATGTATGAAGTGATTATTGGTCTAAGAAATGGTGAATTGGTTTGAATAGAAAACTCATTTGATTATGAATTTAATCAATGCTTTGAAAATACTTGAATCGATGGTAAAAACAGTTGATAATTGATAGGCTTTTAATTACTGCAATTGACATCATTTGATTTGAATATAACTGCTAACAAACTTTGAAAAACTCTAAAAATTATAATCTAATAACAAATAATACATTTATACTGAAGTTTTGAGAAAAACCAAACCGTTTTCTACTTTAGTCTATCACTGGTTAGTGAATCACTATTGAGTGTGAGATGTGTTATGCAATCATAGAAAGAGTTAAATGTTTTTTGCTTATTCTGTACTGACTTGTACTCAATGTACTCCTTATACATGCAAACAAATTTATAATTATACACTATATTGAGTGACAACTCGTAATGGTTAATTATTTTGCCAGTTAATACATTTATGAATTTGTTCCCAATTAATATCTTATAAAAATAATCTTATGAAATGACAAATAATTATTGTCTGATATGTTGTTGACAAACAATATTTTAGTAGTTATTAATTAGCAATATGTTTGTATTTATTTAGAAAATCTATAGTTTTATACGAAAATATTATACAGTATTTGTATTGAGATATAGATTTAGAACTTATATAAACAAAATTTAATGATTTATATGCCTCTTAATATTAATTATTGACTTGAATATAGTCTTATCAAATGTACAGTACGTACTGTATTAGTTTCTACCGGTGCAATGATTTTATTTTTAATAGTAAACCCATAAATAAAAGTATTTATAAAAAGGATAAACTGTAATCGCGTAAAATTTATTTTCATTTATAAATCATTAATACTTTGCTAATTTCCTAATAATAAGTGTGTAAATTATGACTTTGTAATTTAAATAAACCTTATGGGCCACTTTTATAAGACATCATATTTAATATATGAACATATTGGGCTTGTATTAAATTAATTCATTAAATTAAAAGTGAGACCTACATGTTATGCAATTATGCAATTAGTTTACAATTTAATTCATAGCCAGAATCCTATTTATTTAGCAGTTAATTATTATATTGTATTTGGTTTGCTTTCGAGAAATAGTCAATAATATAAAATGTTTTTAGATTTATAACTTTTTAGCAAAATACATTCCAACCATAGCTTGTTTAAAAAATTAATCATTTCTGTGGTGGTAAATAATATTTAATTTTATTTCATTGAATGGGAGTAATGGCATTAAATACTGTAGAGATAACAATGTTGTGATTAATTAAAACCTGTTTGTGGTCCTAATGTCCACTTAAGGGTCAATCACTTATTAACTGTACTGTAGTTGTTGTGATGGATATGAAACGAGGCGTCAGTAGTGGTAAAAGTGGACGAGCTTTCAATCCACTGTCGACTTTGACTTAACATTACTTTAAGCTTTAGTTCCCATTAAATCCGTATCTCTTTAGGTCTTTGGAGACCACATAGACCTTCAGGCTATCACTCAAACGATTCCTTTAATTGATTACTTTCACAAAGAATGTAAATTTAAACAAAACTGAATTCACAGAATATGTTTATACTTCCTATTGTCTAAAATTAGATTCTTTGTCACAAAGAATTGTTGGTAAAAGTGGACAAAATCCTAGAATCCTTTAATACTCAATAAAAATAATAATAAAAACAACAATATGTTTGTGTTTACTAATCGAGTCAACGAGAAGTTATGGAAATATAATCTGATAAATAATTTAAGTTTCTAAAACTTTTCTATACATTTGAGAGGAATGTTAGCCCCGAAGTCTTTATCATTATCGTGGCTCTCACTCCAACCCCTACCAGAGCTCTACCTTCGCTGTCATATCTGTTGTCACAAACCAGACTAACCGTCAGGTCTATTGAGGCCAACATTTTATAGCTATGAATCCACCGATATTTTAATATTAGTTGCAAAAAGTTTGTTCAATAAACGCGTTTATGCCCCAAATTGTCACTATTTTTGCACTAAACCCACGCTTTTTAAAATAATATTTTGTGAAATTTGATCTAAAAATAAATGTTTTGATATTCACTACTGATATTAAAAGTTATATGAGTTAAAATGTTTAGGTAATTAATATTGCAAATACAGTATTATTAACATTAAAATTGTTGTTGTGTGAAATAAAATTATTTTTTAAATTTCAAAATATTACAAATAGGTTTATGATTGATGAGAACAGTCCTATTGTAAAACATTGTGTTGTGAATGTAGAATTCTGTCAATAAATATGAAATGAATTAATAAATTGTGAAATATAATGGAAAATTAATGTGTTTATTGAGATTCTATGGCAATTTGTACACAGATATCCATTATATTCATACTGTATTACGCTAAATTTATTACGTGTACGAAAATACAATAGTATTTGAAACTATTTTATAGTCTAAAATGAGTTCAAGAATTTCACTTGAAAAGTAATCTGAGTTTTTATAAATACAATATGTTAAATATTTTTTGTTTGTAAAATAAGCCGCTATTTCATATTTATTATTCAAGTACTCCTTTTATTTTTTTATAAGTTATAAATTATAACTGTAACATACTGTATGTGTTATTCAATGTGTCCGAAATAGTGACCACTTTTTACAATTAATTTTATTAATATTTTGTGAGTTAGAGATTTCAGTTTGATCTAATATTTTTGTAAATATTGTTTCAATTAATCAACAGTTATATCAAAATTTTTATATCAAACCCAATATTCAATGATGAGTTCTTACTGAAAAATCTTGGAAAGTATTTTGTGATTAAACCCAATTTAAAAGCATTAAATTAAATACTGAATACCGATATAATCCATTAATATAATTAATTCAACCCACACTCTTATTTAACAAAATTTTCCACAAAACGAGACCTCAATATAACAGATAATATATTTTAAACTCAATCTTACAAAATGAATGAAATATAATTAATTTTCTTATATTTAAAGCAAATTATGAGAAATATTAATGAAACAGTTTTATCTGCAAATGATTTATGAAATGCATTTTTAAATATAAAATTCAATGTTTTTGATGTCATATAAGTTTAATGTATGAATAATTGACTGTATGTTTGGATGGGAACAGGAATTCGGAGAAACGTAAGGAGAAGTCGAGGAAAGCCGCCCGAGAGAGGAGAAGCCAGGAGTCGAAGATCTTCGACCAAATGGAGGCTTTGCTTCCAATCCCCACAAAGACTATCAATCACTTGGATAAGGCATCCCTCATACGACTTGCCATTAATTACTTGAAAATCAGGAAAGTTATCGAACCAATCAAGAGTAAGTCGATTGAAAAAGATTTTTTCTATTTCTTTCGATTAATCGATAATTTCTTGTTTCAAAAGTTGTATCCAATTTCAAGACCGAAAGCGAGCCGTATATCGAGGATTATTCGGCCGCCAAAGCGCTCAATGGATTCCTATTAGTTCTGTCCAAAGAGGGAGATATGGTTTACTTATCTGAAAATGTGGACAAATATCTGGGTTTGAATCAAATCGATTTAATCGGTCAAAGTATATATGACTTCAGTCATCCGTGCGATCACAATGATATCAAAGACATACTGGCGCTCAAGAATATGAAGAATTGCGATGAGAGTAATGACCACAAAAGCAATCCCATGTTTGGCTCAATATTTGTGCGAATGAAGTGTACGCTCACTAATAAAGGGAGAAATCTTAACCTCAAATCAGCCAATTATAAGGTGCCATCACTTGACTCGCATTTCATTCATTATGTGATAATTAATTGAATTTATGATTGAATTCATGTACAGGTAATCCATTGCAGCGGACATCTCAAGAGTATTAATGATTCGGATGAGACACCGGAAGCTGCCGAGTGTTTGACGCATACATCAACTTATTATATGATTACTATTTGCGAACCTATAGACCAACCGATGTCTGTCGACATGCCTTTCAGTTGTGATGTGTTTATTAGTCGACACTCTTTGGACATGAAGTATACACAAGTTGACGACAGGTCTGCCCTTCGGATTATCAGTCCTTTAACTGTGATATTTACTGTGAATTTATTTCTCTTTTATAGCATTAATAAAATAATTGGCTATAACTCGGAAGAGTTGACCGGAAAATCTCTTTTCAATTTCTTTCATGCGTTAGATTTACAGCAATTAGAAAAGTTCTTCAAAACTCGTAAGTCATATGAATGTTATCTCTAACGTTAATTATAAACTCATTGTTTCCTAATCTCATGATACGCTAATCCAGACACTTGTTTTCAAATTTTTTTTTTATATACCAATCCAAATCCTTGAATGAAATGAATGTCACACAATGTCTGACACTGTGTTTAATTAGGAATACTATATATTATTACATATTCTTTGACTGAAATTTTAACAGAATATTTAATTGTGTGTAAAGGATGTGTAGTCCTTGACCTCAAACTCATACAACTCCTGATTAAGTGTGAGCTTTAATATTGATGGAGCAGATGATGAGGACTGACAGTCTCTTCGATTGTTTGGATAGACTCCAGAATTTGTCTCCCTTTCCCTTCGGTTACTATTTTTTCTATTATGAATTCCTGTACAGCGTATGAGTGTATGAGTCGAAAACATGTGAAGCGAATCGTGTTTCGTCTATTTCTATAGAAGTGTTCATTTAGTGCTTAAATATTTTGTCTTTCAATGGTCTCATAGCCAACACTAGTTCTCGAGAACTAATTCCCAAATTTCCTCATTTACTCATTCACTTCATTCTCTCTACACTTATAAGCGATTCTTTCCGACGATTCCTATGGTTTGAAGCGAATTACAAGTGATTGTTGTCTTGTTTTGTCGTTAATAACATTCCCTTTGTTTTGCATAAAGTGTTCAACATTCACCACAAACGACTGTTTTGTATATAATCAGTGTTTAAAGTGATTTTTACTATTCTATCAATTATTTTATTTTTAATGATTCGTTAAGTTTTGAGTTGCGCTCAAAGAGTTTATTCATATGGAAATGACTACATATATGTACTGTCGATAGGAATATATGTTAGACTAATATTCTGGGACTCTATCTCACAATTATTGCCAGAGATTAGACAAAAAGTCGAGGAATAAAAACTTGTATTTATATGTCTTATCTGTTTATTTGAAAAACTAGAAAATTTTTCAGTCCTTATATGAGAAGTGCTTTTATTTAATATCAATTATTTGATGGTTTGTCTGTTCTTCACGCCATGACATGTGGTTGTGTTTTACTTAACATTTAATAATTCATTACTCGTTCAGTCGTATAGTATTTTTCAATACATATCCCAAAAGTTGCATTGCGTTTAGGTATGTTATTTGATTAATTGTTTAATTTGTTTTTATTTTTTGCTATATTCTCTATATAGTCGTAAATTAAATAAATTTATTAGTTTTTAAATACTTTGTTATTTAATTCTGCAAAGAATACGCATATTTGTGGTTGAATTACAGTTGCATTTAATATAATGCGATGAAAAAATAATTTAATGAAAGTCACGATGAAGTGAGTATTGGATATTCATAGTATTACACAGTATTTATCAGTAATTAGTTTTAATTGATTCCTGAATATCATATATACCGTACATATTATTGGTATTTGCCATTCATTCGGGTCATAGCAGAGAGTCTAATATAAAGTCACAACTCATTCAACTCCCAAATGCTTATTGATTTGTATTATTGGCTTTTGACTTATGATTAGATTTTGTTGAATCCATTAGTTTTACCGACGAGAGAGTGAAACAGCATTTGTTTTGCGAAACCATTCTTTGCTTTCGTTCACAATTCTCTCATCATTTTCAATTTGTTGGCTATAAATATGTTTGGGCTCTATATTTAAGGCATCTATTTATAACATTATTTTTGTTTTAATATAACAATTATTATAAACCCATTTCCTTTACTTTTTGTGTGTGATGTATGCGTTATAATTTGTGTGAATTGTGAATTTCTTTTTTTTTATTTTATGAATAACTTATTAAACTAAATATTTAATGCTATAATAATCTATAATTTGTTGTACGCATTTTTATTTCCATTTATTTTATTTTATTTCATTTTTTTGCTTAACATTTGTTATCGAAAAAGCGATTTATATAACGATAAGAGAGAGAGAAATAGTTAATACATATTCTGTAGTCAAGAAGATTCTTATGAATTCTCTCTTGTGTTCAGTCACTCGACTATAACTATGAGTTTAATTGATTTGAGTCACAAAATATTGATGAATGCATAGGAATAGTGTATTAATTGTGTGTCTATTCATGTTTAGTGTTCTCCAAAGGACAGAGTCATTCCAATTACTATAGATTTTTGGCCAAATCTGGTGGTTATCTCTGGTTACTAACTCAGGCGACGCTTACGACAGACACCCATTCATCTCAACCACAATCTGTTGTTTGCGTTAATCATGTCATCAGGTGAGCCCACCCTTATCGCACAGACACCCAACTCACTGTTTATGCACATATTCTAGTCATTCAAACATACTTTCATTTAATTAGAAACTAATTTATTATTTAAATCTGTTTGGATATAATTGAAATGCACATTAAAATGAATTTATATTATTAATGTTATTCTAAGGCATGTATTGCTTACTGTGTGTTCAGTATTGTCTTCAATAGAGTTATGGTTTGATTTAATGTTATAATTAGGCAAAAGTCCAAGGCTTGCAACCAAAGCATATTCCGTATCTCTGACAACACATATAGTGAGCGCACACTTGAATCGTTTCTCACTTTTTTTAGTGCTTTAGAAATATTTTTTACATCAAATGTTTGTCCTCTACATAGAGAATGCTTAACACATATTTCTATATTCATGTTAATTGCATTCACTTATCAAATTGACATTTCAATTATATTTAAGCGGCAATTTGTTTTAACGTATTTTATTTTATGAGTTTTTAAACGAATTAAGAATATAACCATTTTTGACTATTGCTGTCAAATGTATGTATTCTGGGTTACAGTGAATGTGTAATAATTGATTATTTTTTCCCTTAAATACAGTGGAATTGTAAACGAGAGAGAAATCGTGAGCGAAGAGCAGTGCTTTGAGAAGAGTGTAGAAAACGCTCGACTTTTGCCACAATTGAAGCCTGCATTTGAAGAGACATCCACTCGAGCTCAGACCCCATTTGTGTCGAGTACTAAAACAGTGTTTGCGCCCAAAACTGCTGATATGGATAGTGGTTTCATTGTCTTCGATAACGCCAATCACATGACATATCTCTCAGATCCCGAAGACTTGACTCATTTAGCTCCAGAAGCTACAGGTGACGACTTTTGTGTTCCCTTTCCCGGACTTTTGGCCGAATTCAATGAATTGAACTTTTTTGAGGAAGTCTTTCTCAATCAAAACGTCTCGAATGCTAACCTTTTAAGCGAAGGAGAAAAAGTGAAATTTAATGAGGAATGTCTTCAGCACATGAATGCCATCAATATGTATAACTCTAACGATGACTTGAACGAGACTTTTATCAAACCTAACGATAACACTCTTTATAAGACTATTACTCAAAACTTCGTTAAAAGTTATCCAGCCTTTAGAGACGCGGATAGCGTGGAGGACTCGCCACTGCCTAACGATCCTCTTCTCTCCTATCACGAAGAGATGCTCTCAAGTTCTTCATCTGCCGACTCATCCGATCCGTATTCAAGTGAAACCAATTCTCCACTCAATATCTCGTCTCCCATTTTAAGCCAGACGTCGAACTTCTTTTGCAAATCTCCGACCGAAGAGGTCTCCAAATTGAATATTAATGAGAAAAATGATTTACTGGACGACAAAGTGCTTGAGATGAGAGCGCCGTATATTCCCATCGATGAGGACTTCCCTCTACTACTGGAAGAAGGCTTACAAATGAATTACTCGAACGCAAACATCGATGAATTCATTCCTTTCGACAACATTTCTGGCGATAAACCGCTGAACGCTTCCGATTCTAGCAATAAGTATCCAATGTTTGAGAATCCATTGCCACAGAAAAGCAATTGTTTAGAACTTTTGCTTCAAAAGGATTTGAAGCAGAAGAGCCCGAAAAGTGTTTCAAATAAAAAAGACAAACAAAAACAAAATCTCAACAATTATTCGCAGAAATCGGATCCAAAATTATGTAAATCCAAATCAAATTTATCGCTCAACAGTCGAGTGGAATATATTTACAATAATATGAATCAAGCATTTAGTGCATCATTGAAAGACAACTCAATGAATGCCATAAACAGCACTCAAAGCCCACAATTCATTTTGCATTCAAATAAGTCTCAAAAGATAGGAAACGATTTAATAAAGTGCTCTTCGAGTCCAACAAAGAGACCGTACGCTTCGGAACAATCAGATATTGTGTACACCATTTCGCCCAATGATATCCTTCCCGACCAGAGATCCAAAAAAAGTGTTAGCAATGAAATGCAAATTAATAAGAAATTCAAAATAAACAATTCTAATAATAGAGACAATAATAATAATTTTGAATCAGTTAAAGGTTTGTGTTTAACATGTAATGTGCGTTATTAGCGAAAAGTTGTTTAATTGGTTTCTATTTATATGAATTGACAGCAAATAGTGTTTTAATGAATTTGTTGGTTAACGGAGAAGATGTGACGAATGGTTACTCGAAATACTCAAACATTGATAGAAGTGATCGCCAGAAGTCATCAAATGTTTATAATATTAATAATAATAGCCATAAGTCTGTGAACGTGAAGAGCAACGCAAACCATCGTTTAGGTGATGGACAAGACATGCGATAAGAGCTCCGATTGACATTCATAGGTGTTATCTATCTATCAATTCCTTTCATAAAGGTTTTCATTATATTGTTTGTTTGAATTTGGGTTTGGGTTATACCTAACCGTAATTGTGTTGAAGTAATTCTTACATTCAATACACTTTCAAACACTCAAATATTTTATCGAAATATTTTGCTATATTTAAGCCATTTATTAAGTAAACAAATAATTAACGTTAAAATGCCATAAGTTTGTGATCGCAATCCATATGTCGTTCACAACAACTGGCAAATGAAACACTGTTGTGATGTCTTTGTGTCGTCCAAACACTTATGTTTTTGATCACCATTTGAGTTGACTCTAACTGTAAAGGTATGCTAAATATAATGTCAATTACGATCACACCATCAAAACCTCATCGCATCCGAGACCTCACTCTAAAAAGGTTTAGTCATTCTGTGAGTCTTTAAAAGTGATTTTCGATAAAAGTATTCAAAATTTTATTTTTATTTTTTGACTAAAGATTTGTAAATCAAAACTTTATTCAGATAACTGTAATTAGAATCATATTTGAGCTCAAGTTTAGGAAAATTAATTTAATTTAATTTAAATATGAAATAATGTCTCGTTTGTGATGATTAAGTGATTGATAAACAGAATATATACACAAATATATAAACTATTGTTCAAAAAGCCTTAAAGTTGAGCGTTTGTTTGCCAACAAATTATACGAAAAATAATAATAAATATATTTATGAACATTATATTAACTTCGGGTTAAAGTGATCTTCAATTATAGTACAATTCGTTACAACTTTTTTAATTATAAATCTTACAATTGCTTAACATTTTTACAACAAACACTTCAATCATAATATCAATTATTTGTAATTTAATTTGTTTTTGTTTAATAATTTATAGATTTTTTTTGATTTAATTATTATTATAATTATATTATAAGTTTAGAGCAGTTTGAAATATTTTTGGTTTTGTTTGTCGCATGAGAACACTTTTTGTTTGTAAAACAAAACTTCAGAAACCATTAATTAAGTAAAAGTTTTCTTCTGTAATTGTGTCATAAAATTATATATTTTTCAAATCAATTGATATTTAATCAAATTATTAAAATAAAGTATATTTTCTTTTTTGCGTAAACTTTTCTCATTTATTTCATAATTCATATAAATTATTACAAAGCCATATATAATAGAAATTTTGTTTTTATATAAATATAAAGGTTGTTATCGTATGATTAGATAGTCTACAAACGTCATGAGAAAGTGCTATAACACATACATATTTTACCAAATGATAACAAACTGAGTTTAGATTTTAATTACGGTATTTAAAAGTATACTATATTATATCAATTTTTGCTTTTAAGTATATATTTTTCATACTTATGGTTAATATGTAAAATATTTTTAAATAATGGTTAACTGATTACAACAGAATGTTCTGTATTAGACAGACTTAATTCAAATGACATTTATATTTATATATTTGTCAATATTTTCCAACTAATTAGCTATTTAATGAAATTTTCCAGTTATAAAAATATAAATATTTTTAAAAATCAGAAGTTATTATTAAATAAATTCTTAAGCAAGAAATATCCGATATTTACAAATGGATTCTTAGAAATTAATGTCATATTTTAAACTTTTAATGTTTGAAACATTTGACTTTTATTTAATTCCTACAAAGAAGTCATACACTGATATCAAATGATTAAATATGTGATTGTAGCTTATAACTTAAAATTTTAATTTTTAATTAATTTTTCATTTATTAACCCTCGAAGTTAGTAATTTGGGAGTCACAATTAAGTGAAATACAAATTAATCCTGAAAAATACTTATAAATTAATTCTTCATGGCCAAAATTATTGTGTATTTTATTGTAGACCTTATTTTGAGCAATAAGTCGCGTTCAGAGAAATTATTATTGAAACCAATTAACTGTCATTTAAATTAAACATACAAAACATAAATATAATACAAAGATTATTGAATATCAATCGCTGGAATCAATTAATAGTGAGAATAATGTCTTCGATTAACAATAATAATGAGGAAAATGCCGAAAGAGAAGTGATTCGACTTCTGTATGACTTACTGTCCAAATGGGATCACATCTTGCAATACACGGACCAAATCGTGAGACAAATTCAAAACAAATACATAAACTCACAAACAATTCAGTCATCACTCTCAGAGACAAGAAAACTATTTCCTAACCACCAATCCATTGATGAAAGACTGCAATCAATACCAACCCAAACCTCAGCCCTTAATCACAAGAAAGTACAACAAGAGACCAGTGATAAGAGTTTAGACAATAAGTCGATCCAAACGGACGACAACCAAAGCAATGAAAGCGACAAAAAGAAATCACCGAAAACTAGTTCCGACACTAAGAGGAAGAGTATTGGCAGTGATATGGAAGAGAACTTCACTAAATTGGATGATATTATCAACTATTATACGGATCTGAGGAACAGAGCGCTCAGAACTATCGTAAGTCACGGAAAGTGATCAAAAGTGGCCAAAGATGTGAACCGAGAGATGAAAGACGTTACCGAAAGCTTTCATAAATTGCAAAACAATTAATTTCATATCAATTGACTCGATTCCGTGTTAAATATGTGTATATTTTTTGAATTTATAAAATAATAAGATCACAACTAAAACCATATCTTGTGTGAAATAAATAATTTTTGTGTTTTCATGTTATACTCAAATGCTAATAAAAGAGTTAATAGACTAATACAATATTAATCATATTTAAGATATCCCAGATTACTAACATAAGTAATTACAGAAATATTAGAAATATATTATGAGAATCACTAGTCTATCAAAAGAATTCTGTAAAATAGAAATTTAATTGAGTTTTAAATTTGCATTGAATGCTCAATTATAAGATATATGAAATATTATGGTAATAATAATAATAAAGTGCCTTGGTATATTTATGTAATTAATTTGTGTTGTGGAGGTACGAGGGGTGGGCCACGGGGTTTGCAATAGTTTGTACAAGTTTTGTGAGTTTGACAGACAGTTAGACTTTAGTCATGAATTCAATGAACCCAATGGTTGAGTGAGTGGTTCAGTGAATAGTTGAGTGAATGGTTGCGTTGAGAGCCCTCTGTCGGCAGTGAAAGGTGTGATGTATTGACAGACAATTGACTGCAAAAATGGTGGATCTGTTGGATGTGTTTTGTGGCGGCATTTCATACATTCACTGATCAGACATACCATACCATTGATTAGCACTTCGAAGACAACTATTAATCCGTGGAAAGGCCTCAACAAGTGATTGACAATATGAGAGCTGTTCTCAAATCACTGGATGACTCCCACAAAGAGGTGGAACTGACGGTTGGAAAGACAACACTCGGCAGAGGAGTCCTTCTCGATGTATGTCATCAACACTTGCACTCCTATCACCACTTATTATCATTTGTGACCATTAGTTGTCGTTTCCCTCAAACCTAAGACCCACTCTTAAGCCTCTTTTGCTGTCAATTGCTATGCATTTATTGTCTTATATATGGATCTAATGTTTGGTTCTTTTGTTCTTAAAGTCAATGTTTATGTGATTTGTTTTGTCGATAACCTCTTTGACAGCTCTCTAGACACCACTGAACGCATCGATTATCTCATAATGAGTGGTCGTATGTGTTGAGGGATGCAATGAACTGACGATTGCTTTGTTTCACTCATTTAGTGCTCCGATAAGAAAGTGTCGCGAAATCACGCCTTCATTGAAGTGACAAATGCCGGCGAAATCCTATTGACTTCGGTTTGTATTCATTCCGCACGTACTAAGAGTCCCAATGTCTTCACGCATACCATTATCTCACTATCCATGCCTGCGACACCTACTCCATGTCTAATCGGTGTTTGTTTTGTCACTTCTTCAGCAACACGTGAATCCATGCTTTTATTACTCGACGGACGCGAGTAGTGTTCAGAAGATAATCAAGAAAGACATGACTCAAGTGCTGTCTTCGGGCGATATCTTTAGCCTTTTGGCGAACTCTTATAAATATCAACTAATCGTCGATTCGGACACAAAAGACGCCAAAACAGAGAACAACGACTCGAAGGCGAGCGAAGAGAAACGCGAAGAGAATTCGGTGAACGGAGAGAACGACAGCTCGAAGAATGACTCGAAGTCCGAGAACTCGAAGAAAGTGGAGGACAATGACGACGACACGAAAGATAACGATTCCGTGGCCTCTGATGTCAAGAAAAATGATAAGAAAGTGTCGGACGAGAAGAACTCTATTAAGAAGAAAGTGAAAGCCGTTGACGAGAATGAGAACAACAAAGAGAAGCAAAAGAATAACGAATCGGAAGAGGAAGAGGAGGAACAGGACGTGAAGGAGAAGAAAGAAGAGCCCAAAAAGAAAGGCAGACCTCAGGGACGACCCAAAGGGCAGACCAACAAAAAACCCAAAAAAGAAGAGTCCGAAGAGGACGAGAAGGACGACGAAGTGCCGGATGAAGAGGACGAGGACGAGGAGGAGGAGAGCGACGACCATAAGTCACCCAAAGGTCGCAAGAAGGGAAAGAGTGCGGCGCCGGCGGGAAGGGGTCGCCCGCGAAGGTCCTCACAGCAGACTAAACCCGCAAATAAATCCGTTGTCTCTCTCGACGACTATGTGGTGAGCGATGACGACCTCTGGGAGAGTGAATCCGAAGAAGAGTTTAAACCAAAGCGCGGAAAGAGAAGAGGTCCTCACAGCAGACTAAACCCACAAATAAATCCGTTGTCTCTCTCGACGACTATGTGGTGAGCGATGACGACCTCTGGGAGAGTGAATCCGAAGAAGAGTTTAAACCAAAGCGCGGAAAGAGAAGAGGAAGCGATTCAGAGAGCGATTGGGAAGTGGAACACAAACGCGGCGGTCGGACGGCTAGAAAGCGATACAATGAGTCGGGAAGTGATTCGGACAGCGATTGGGGGAAGAAGAAGAAGGTTTGTTTGAATGAATTTGTTTGCATTTTTGCGGCCATTCAACGAATGTTTGGTTTGCATAGAAAACACCCAAAAAGTCGACGAAAAAACGCCAGAAGCCCACGCGAAAGAGTCCGCGAAAACAATTGAGTGAATCGGAGGACGAAATCGATGACATCGACGACGATGAGGAAGAGGAGGACGTGAAGCCAAAGGGTAGGCGAAGGGGTAAGAGAGCGGACTCGGAGGACGACGACAGTGATGATGACTATAGAGGCGGTGGTGGGGGCCGGAGAGGCGCCAAAAAGAGTCCTAAAAAAGGAGGTCCCGGAAGACCTAAACGCGAGGTCGCTAAACGAGGTTTGAGTGGTTTATTGCTTTGAATGATTGCTGTGATTAGTGTTAAACCATTGATTGGTACAAAAGGGGCCAAAAAGAGAGCGCGCGATGAGGAGGACGAAGAGGATGAGGAGGTGTCCGAAGACGACTCGATGACTAAAAGGAAGCGAAACTCACGGAAAGCCGAAGAATCTGAAGACGAAGAATCTGATGGCGAAGATGTGGACAGTTTGGTAAAGGAGGCCAAAGGGTTTGTGCGAAACAAGAATTCGGCCAAAAAAGTGTGAATATTTGGCCCAAAACTACACTTCAATTTCGTGGACGACTTCTCATCTAAACATTCATTGATATAATTAATTGAATCATTTTTGCTATTAATTTCAGTTTCAAATCATCCATAAATTAATTATCAGAAATCAAATCAATTATGTTTTAGTCATTAGTAATGCATCTTTTGGTTACTAATGAACGCATTTTATCCACAATTCCTGTGTCTCTGCTTTTCATTACAAAACTATTTATCCCTTTTAAAGGCTTCAACACACAAAACCACACTAAATAACAATACAATACAAAGTTTTTCATATTTTTACGATTTTATTCCACTTTTTCTCATAACTTAAGCAATTTTTCGTACAAAATGTCGATTTAATTATTGAATTCATTTTAATTATTATTATTATAAGACTTAGTATTTGGTGATGAATTAAATTACGAACAGTTCGTAAACCATTTTATTTGACAAATTGTGAGAATATTTGTTCATTTTTCAAAATAATAATTTCTCGATTTTTGACCAATTTTTACAAATAATACAAATTTTTAAATGGAATTCACAATTGAATGGCAAATGAACTCAAGAATCCATTGAATTGAATTGGTTTGTATCCATATTCTCGGAGTCCTCCTCACTGAATGGTCTTTTAAGACCGCCTGTCCATCACGAGTGACAGCAATACGAGAATCGGTTTAGTTATCACAGGAAGGCATTAGTCGTCGACAACTCAATACATACCTTCAGAAGAGAGGGGTATTCCTCTGGCTTTAAGAATGGGTTCGTATTCTTGAAGCTGTTGTCGAAAGCCTTCGTTCGGGAAAATACAGAACCGCTTGTTCTGCACGACTCGAATCGCTTGGGAAGCAGACTATCGATGGTAACAAAGACGAGGATTAATGAAATGAATGCATAAAATGAGTGCAAATATGAACCAAATTTTGTTTCTCCATAATGTAGGCGATGACGAGCGCAGCACTCCTGGAGATGCCGGCGTTTCCGTGCACTAAGACGGCTCCGTTCCGCTCGAAACAGTCGTCTATGAATTTAGTCACCTTTGGATCAATTGACAGACATATAAGACATGAGTGCATGAGTGGGACAGTGGGCTGACATACGGATGGGAAGTACTGAATGATGTTTTGTGTGGGAGTGTCCGCGATGTCGAGCGTCAAGTAGTGGTACTTCAGGGGAAAGTTGGGTCGAATCCAATGCGCCTCTATCTGCTGGCGGACGCATATGATGTGAGTGACGCCCACTCGACACAACTCGTCCTCCTGTCCAACACATCACATGATCACTGCATTCACGCATACAATCACTGCAGACATACCTTAGTCTTGAGGGCCGAGGCGTACGGCCCTAACCACAGACGAGGCACTATCTCTTGCATCTGTCGTCTCATCGAATACTCCCATTCCTGCCATCGATTGGACACAAGACATGAGACAATACAGTCGTGCAATGAATGAGTGGTTGTGAAGACATACGAAATTTGCCGCATTGTCTGCATTGAGATTCGCGTCGTTCATGTCGTCCCCCATCGGCGCCTCGTTTTGGTTCATATCGTCCTCTTTGACGAGTGATAGACACGACTCACCCGATGGCTGCACTCCAAACGGATCCGGCAATTGAGTCATCGATGGCACCAATTGGACCTCAATTTGCAATTGCGGTGACAGTTCGCACAAGAGTTGGATTTATGGATCAAATGCTTTGAATGAATGAATGAAATAAATATCAATGAAATGATGTATTGGTGTCTCCTTTGGTTGCAATGAAACGTCTGATTGTTTTGTTGTTATATTTCATAGGATTTTAAATTCATTTCAATTCGAAATTCTTTTCATTGAAATGCTTTACATAGACGCTCACTAACACTCACTTCCCACCCAAACCTAACCCGCGGGATATTATTATCGGCACTCTATTTATTGCAATTCAGTTAACGTAATGTCATAATATTTCACAATATTATCATATATGCTATAAACTCATTGATTTGTATTTTATAGTGAGTTAATGATAACAAATGAATTTATGGCTACAATAATAACTGAAATATATGGGAAATTTGAACGATTGACTTAAGGGTAGGGCTTAGTGAAGGGGTCTGTCTATTAAGGGACAGACTATGAATTGAGTGCAATCGGCAGACATAGAGAGCGACACAAATAATGCTGTTTTGGACTTTTCAAAAGTTTATGATATACAGCAGTTATGTTCATAAAGTTTTTAATTGCGATCGATTTGAGTGATGTTTGAACGAAATGTTTAATTCAATGATAATTGAAGTGTTGGCTAATGTTTTGCAAATGTTGTGTCGATTTGAATGAATATTCTGTTCCTTTGTTTGTACGTTAATTCACGACATTTTACTCATTAAAAGATTGTTAGACACTAATTATTAATTAGTAATTATTCATTACTAATGATTAAAAACCGTTTATAATTGTGCGGTATAACAATTAGTGTACTGACCAGGGACAGACATAGGCCGTAGAAAATATTGGTTATAAATATGGCAACAATGGGTTAGAATTGAAATATAAGAGCTCTCCTTATTGTCGTTGATCTGAGATCCAGTCCACGAGTTGCTGTCATTCGTGATGTCTATCTCCAACTTGTGGTCACATCCCTGGTGTTGACCCGTCTGAGGGTCACTGCAATGCCGTACCCTTTGTTGGCCTCACATTCACACTCTAAATAGTTTGTGTAGTTATAGCCCGATGTGAGTACAATGGATGAGCTGTCGTCCAGTTGTATGCTTTGCGATGGCTATCACTGCGACAATACTTTGTTATGTCATACACTGTATACAGTCTACGACTAGTACTTCATTTACAGTCTTAGCTCTGCTTTAGTTTTTGAAGTCAAAGAGTGCGAGAATTGAATGCATTGTTTGTACGGAAGCTATAAATTGTGGTTTCGTTTGAAATTCCCGTTAAATTGAGATTCAATTCGAACACAAACTCAACGTATATTTCAAACCATTGTCTCAATTGCTCCCAAAAAGTGACAAATCGATGGCTCTTTCCGGTGATATGAACACCAATACAGACGTGAAGTCCGAGACGAAGACCCTTTCAATCAGATTCGACGCCAATATCTATGTGTCGAGCGGTGGACAGGCGTCCAAAGACAAGACCGACTCTTGTGTCCACTTTGTGTGCGGAGTCGTCGAAGTGGTGAACGGATCCGTCGATCAAGTGCTTCATCTGATGGGTCATCCATACTATGAACTCAACGGACTGGTGAACAGCGATGGCTGTCTCAGCACTACTCCAGAAGTGAACGACCGGTTCGAGGGATCGCTTCCGAGGCCTCCGGCGTCTCATCTCGTGCTTCACGACAACCGACTCTTCGGTGTAGTCATTGACGGCAATAACGAATGTCGAGTGGTCGGTGCCATCAGTCAAGTGGTTCCCAGCGGTGACGCCAATGTCTTGAAGTGCGGAAGGGATGGCATTTGGACGACAATCCGCTCCAAAGACATTGACATCAACTCAATGGTTGCCAATGGAATGGTGTTTGCGGTCGTCAGCGAAGGCGGCTTTGCCTTCATTCAGACGGATGTCTGTCCACCGCAAGAGATGTCTGAACTGACTCTTGTGGTCAATAAGGGATACATAGTTCTCGAGGAGACGGCTCTTCATTGGACTCGACTTCGAGTTGGCCTCAAAAGGGATGAGTTCGCGACGAATACGACGAAACTGTTGGCCAAAGAATGTGTGGTCACCGGAAGGGGTGGTTATCTGCGGCGCGACGACCACTTCGAGGTGTTTGGCAGTCATAACGCTGTCGTCGACTTCAAGGCTCTCAAGAATATGATGGAAGTCATGGCAACTGTTGGCCTCCAGAGAAGCGATGACACGATTGGAGAAGAGAGCAAACCATCGGATGATGACGTGATCGACGGCCAGAGATATACACCAGAAGTGGTCTCAGAATC